GTGGAAGCAGATTTGCTGCTAATGACAGCAAACTGCTCTTCCTTCCTGGGGCCCTGCAATGGGCCCCTGTGGCCACCAGGGGGAGCTCTAGCCTCCCCTCCCCTCTGCTAAGCCAGGGGCTGGCAGGGTGCACTGGGCCAATAGACAGCTGTCTCCTGGTCAAGGCTGGGACATTGCTCCCTGCCCCCCAGGGCTGCCTGCTGCTGGGCCGGGGACAATGTCCCCCTTGCCCCAGCAGCAGGGAGTTCCCATCTCCAGGTCCCTGATTGGGGCTGGGGACTTGGAAAGAGCTTTGGGGGAGGGCTAGGTCCCAGCCCTCTCCCTCAATTGGTGGAGCAGCTAGCAGTGAGACCTGGCTACTAGCTGCCTCACCACTGGATTGGGGAAGGGGGCTGGGTCCTGCCTCATCCCTGTAGCTCTTTCCAAGCTCTGTGCCTCAATCACCTGATTGGGGTGCGGGGCTGGGGCCTGCCCCTGGCTGGGTCACTTCCCAGCCCTCGCTCCCCAATTGTGGGGCAGGGGCTGGAGAGCCTGTTCCCCGCTCAGCTCTTCAAGCACAGCATTGGTTGGAGAACAGGCTGGGGATCAGGTTCTCCCAGTGCTGACCATAAGAATCTTGCGGCCCCCCACTCCCCAATTGCAATGGCAATCACTCCCTGAACAAGATCTCAGAGTGGGGGGCTTGGCACTCCCTGCTGCCAGGGCAGGGGTCATTGCTCCCTGCCCTCGGGAGCTGCCTGCTGCCAGGGTGGGGTCCACCACCGGAGCCTGGGCAGGGACTATGTCCCCCTGGCCTGGCAGCAGGTTGCTCCAAGACCCCCACTCCAAGATCGCTATTGGAGAGTGAGGGCTGGGATCCTTATGTCGCATCCCCTGCTTTGCCATTGTGATCGGGGAATGGGGGGCTGGGAGATCTTGCCTCTCCCCTGCAGCGCTTTCCAAGTCCCCTGGCTCAATCAGGGAGCCAGGGCTGGGAGTTCCCTGCTGCCAGGGCAGGGGGGCATTGTCCTTCCCTGGCAGCAGGCAGTTCCCAGGGGCAGGGAGCAATATCCTGCCCGCGATCGCCAGCTGGCTGGGAACAGATTTGTTCCCAATTAGGGATCAAGAGTGGTACTGCACAGTAACTACTTTCGAGGAAATTTGCTACTTACATGTTTAGGTACAAACTTTACTTGCAATTAGCAAGGTTTACTGTGCAGTAAGCATGTGCATCTATACAGTAAACCATGCTACTTCACAGTAAAGTGTCTCGTGTAGACTCACCCAGAAAGAGCAAAAAGGAAGCTTCTGTTACTCAAAAGTAAGCTTCTCTTGGCTGGGATGATATAGTCGGGGATCCTTCTGCATTGAGCAGAGGTTGGACAAGATGACCTCCTCAGGACTGTGGGGTGCAGCCTAAATGCCACTTACGTCTGGGAAAATAGTAGGATTCAAGATGCACGCTCCTCTTATGTTCTTCCTTTTGGCTGGCTTAGGCATCCCCTGCTTGGTATGCTGAGCACTGTGCATCCCACCCCCAGCTACGTAAATCTCTTTATTTAAAGGGTAGGGGACTTAGTCACCTGCCTCAGGATTGTGAAGTCTACTCCTGAAATGCAACAGCCTACCTGATAGGGGTGGAGAATCTGAGCACCCCCATACCTAAGTCCCTCTGTGCATCTCATCCTAAGTGAGAACAGGCTATTTCATTAGTGCCCAGAGCATATATGCACTCTCTTTCCGAGTCCCTCACAGTCAAATATGATTGTCTTCCATGATTGTCCTATCTGTGAGTCTGAATACGGCTGATGAGGCCAATCTGGGATAGACAGACTGTTGCAGCTTGGGCACGTGTTTCTGTGTGGGGTGGGTAACTCTGGATTTTTTCTTCAGTCCATGACAAGCTCTTTATGCCACTTCCACTTTTCCATCTCCCATTGCCATTGTAAGGTTTCAAAGTCCTGAGCTCTTTGCAGCAGACTCTTCCTTCATTTGGGGCAGTCCTGGGTGGCTTGATAAGCACTAGCCTCTCACCAGAATACCTCTGAGCTGGTAGAGCATTTTGGACACTATACACAAAATTTCCTCATAGTGCACAGGGACAGAAAAAAATATACATACCACTTAAGACCTACTGAAATTTGTCTTGGTGGTCCATAATCTCTATGTACAATGTAAGGTGTTCAGGATAATTGATTCTGCAGACACTTCCCAGAATAACCTGCATGCTCTGAACATGCCCACTCTGTGTTTCTAATGCTAGTTCACAGCATAATGTTTTATTATTTCAGAAAGAGTATTTTTATTTGTATTTCATAGCAGTCAGGAGACCTAATTATAGAGATGCATGCTTTTTACATTTCTCTCTCATCTAGTACTCTGCGACATTTGATAACTTCGCCGATGGGAATTATTTACTAATGGAACATAGGAATCTCTCATCCACCATTGAGATCACGGTGCTTTGCGGGACAAGGCGAGGGCAGCCACTACAGTCACTCCCTTCACACATTTATCATAAGAGCTGTGACTGGTTTTTCAATCGCAAACTGGGGAAGCTAACCTTTTTGGGTAAGTGCAATGCAAGTAATATAAAGTTTATATATACACGTACCTTTTTGCCCAGTAACTGTGCTGGAGGTGACATTCCTTCAACTTAAAGCCCTGTTTCGAAAATGAATTTAAGACAACAGGGCTACTCAGTAATTAAAGGTATGCATATGCTTAAACTAATTCAGCATCAAAAGCTAATTTATTCTTCCAAGGAATGCAGCATGCCTGGTGGAAATTTGATACTGGGTGAATTTGTACAAGTGTGTTGGCAGTGCTAAGGTGGTAGGATATGTGACTGGTTCCTTGAGTCCACTATTTCCCCACCATACATGTGATCCATCAGTCCTCCAAAGCCTGTTAATCAGGCCCCCATGGAAGACAATTGTGCTATCCTTTTGAGTAAGGATTACTCAGATGAGGATCACATTCTAAATTGGGAGCTCTCACAGGCTTTTTAGCCCCCTAAACTTGAAAATATTGCCTTCTGTCTCTAGTTTTTGGAGTGTGAATATGACTTTTCAAAGTATTGCAGCTCTTTATTGGTATTGGTTGGGATTACCCATACCTGCCAGCTTTGTGATTTGTGATAGGAAAAATCTTCAAAACCTGGGGCTTCCCCCTTGTTCTGGTTCTCCAGCAAACCAGCCATTCTGGTGCTAAATTCTGGATGCGACAGGAGAAGTAATAATTATGGCTATTATCAGCCATGACAGAACCGTAACTCATAAAAACCTCACAATGCCCTCGGGAGGTAGGTAGTGTCATCACCATTTAACACAGAGAAGCTAAAACAGGGAGGGCTGGGTTCCCACTCACTTGAGACTATTTTGACATTCGTACAACTTTGTTGGCTCTAATGAGTTGCTCTTGATTTGCACTGGTGAGGTGGCAGCCAGGCCTAGAGAATTTGAACAATTCCCCCAAGGCTGTGCTAGAAATTTATGGCAGAACAAGGAATCTTTTTTTCTTTGCAATTAGCAAACCACAAGGGAGGGAAAAGATACGGCTACCTGGAAATCCAAGGCTGTCCCTCACTGAAGATCTATTATTTCAAATCCAAATATGACAGCTCTTGGACAGCTTGGTCATTCTACACAAAATATTCAGATAAACAGAGACTCATGGGAAAGCTTAAGAATGTGACCCATTTCTCGGCATCTTATCACTGTGAAGAGTAATGGATTTGGTTGAAACGGTAATAGTGAGATATAATGATTCATTCAGCATGTTTTAGCATTATAAAGAATTGTTTATATTCCTACCCTTCCTTGCAACTTATTTTTGTTCTAATTTTGTTATCTTATGTTCATCTCTTTTTAACGTAGAGAATAATACAGAGAAAAATAATATAGGGATGTAGAAAAAAGGTTGGAAAACTATAGAGGAAAAAAGAACTACAGGCAGTCCTTGGACTTATGACATAATTGGTTCCTGAAAACTGCATCTTAAGTTGAAACGTTGTAACTCAGAACCGTTTTTCCCATAGGAAACAATGTTATAAATGGGGATCGGTTCCTGAGCCAAGGCTCAATCCCCTATTTTCAGCAAAAATAACCCAGTAATTTTGTACTCGATCAATTATAGATGAGCAATATAGCTACATTAATGTATTTATATTGTAAATAGCAATCATATTGATTTGGAAGGACTTCTTTGAGGTGACTTTGCTGGACTTTTTGAAGGACTCTTGGTTGAACTTTTTGAAGTGTTCTTGGCTGGAGTCTTCTCAGGAGTCCTGGCTGCAGGTTTTTCTGGAGTCTTGTCTGCTTTCTTAAAGAAAGTGTCCAAGGAAGTTTGGACAGATGTTGTCCAGGGACATGGGCGACGCAGCAAACTTGTTTGCTGGTGTGGCGTTGCATCAGATCAAGCGTTGTAAAGTCGAAACTGAGGTCAGAAAGTTGAAACGGGGTGTCAATTTATAAACGTTGTAAGTGTGAAACGTTGTCACTTGAAATGTTGTAAGTCGAGGACTGCCTGTAAATAAGTTGCATTCAAACTAATGGAAATGTCTTGCATATCCATACTCAGATTTGACTTGATTCCAGTGAGCACTTGGGAGGTTGCTAGTTTGGACATAATGTAAATTGAAAGGATTCTCAACTTAGATATGTTATTTGCTCACTGTCCTGTGCTCTGTAGTACGTGTCACTGGAGGTTGAAGTGGTAAGCAGATTCCATTTGGCAAGAAGGCACATATTTGCAACTGGAACAACTATGGCATGCACTAGATTTTCCAGGACTTCGCATCCTTACATCAAATTTGGGTCTTTCTGGCCATAAGCAAGTACTAAATGACTGCACAGTAACTGTGCAGTACTGACTCCAAGCTTTTTTTCCCGATGCTACTGCGCAGTAGCGTCGTGTCACTATTAGTGCTTGGCAATGCTATTGCCCGATAGCAACGAGCGACAAGCGCAGTAGCTCATTCCTACTGCGCCGTAGCGTCTCATGTAGATGCACCCTCTGAAAACTACTCTTTAGCTCTATCACTGGTTATTCAAAGAGTGATGAGATGAATTCTTTGGCCAACGCCATGCAATAGTTCAGATGTGGTGGTCTTGGCAATCCCTTCCAGGCATAAAAATCTATAAATCTTGAAGCTGAGAGAGAGGGAGGACAAAACTTTTGGTTTCAGCCCTGAGAACGTTTGGCTGTTTAACGTTGTGAGCTGTTTTTATTTTTTAGTTACATTTAACTGTATGAAATAATTAGTCAACTAATTAATCCCATTTACAAGCTTTGTAGGATTCTTCAGCTGTCACTCATGTCCAAGCCTGAGGCCTAGGTTTAGTCTCAGCTCTCTTGTTCATGTGACTCGGTCTCCATAGCTACAGGCTGCATCTGCTGACACCCCACTCTCTATTTACTGCTTAATTAAGAATTTCACGCTCAGCCCTTATCTGCTGCTAAGAACAAGAACACACTGTTAAGAAATTCCAAATTTAGGCTGCTGCACAAGGAAAGTCTTTCTTGTAGGCCTGACTGCGTGGAGCCTCTTTAACTACCCTCTTGGCAACTGAGCTGCCACCCTTCAATCAAAAATCATTAAATGGGGCAGAGATAATGAGCATGTAGCATATCAAAAGGAGGATGTTTGCTTGGGCTAAGGAGGAAAAGCTGTAAGGGCCTATAAGCAGCCGCCACTTCAAAGGAAGAGGGGGCTGCCCCATCAGCAGGCCTGATAAAGAATCATTTGTTCCTGTTTGACTTATGTAAAAGGTCTGGTATGTTAGAGTCCCGTCTTGCAGACGCGAGTCCCCGCTCTTGGTGTTCGTGTGTCAGCAGTTAGGCAGCTGGGCCCAAACAGCATCGGCCAGAGCATATAATCACTTGACTCCATCCCAACAATGGACACTTGTAGGGGGTGGCTAGGGGGAGGTCCCCGAGACAATGGGAACACAATTATTGCAGCTGCTAGGGAGGGCCATAATTCTTCCTGGAGAAAGTAGCAGGCCCTTGTGGAGCTGGGAGAAGAACTTGAGTGTATTATTCATATTCTGACTTTTGGAAGCACTTTGCCATACCAGTGGGGTTCCAGCAGCTGCTCGTGTACCGCCTCTTTCTAATAATTGTACATTCTGTCAGGGGTCAACTTACTTTTGACCCTTTCCCTTTGTGCCAGTTAAAAGGCTTTTTAGGGCAAACTGTTGGGTAGTGGCAGGGGTGCATTAAATCCAAAATTATCGTCGGGAAGTACATATCAGATGCTGGCTCATTCACAGGCAGGCTCCTAAATTCACACACAGCCCTTTGCTCAGACCCAATGGAAATAAATAATAATCATAAAAAAGGGACCCGACCACGGAGAAGACATTGTTATTTAAAAAAGCCAAACAGCTGAACGAATCTGCCGTGGTCGGCAGCAGGGATTGTTCATGTTTGGCTCAGATGCTTTGCACGCCCCCCTCGTCCAATCGGACACGGCATTAGGCCAGCCTCACATAAGCAGTCATCTCTGGGGAATAAGTGTCTTGGAGAGGAGGTAATGTTGGGGGGAGACGAGACATTTTAGTCCCCTGGATGTTTTCTTTATTTGTCATCTTGGAGTTTAGATCTTGGTTCAAACAATATGGGGGCTGAATGTGAAAGGGCAACTACAATAGGGTGGTAAATTGAACCCAGGATCCAATGTTTTTGTGGATCCAGGATATATGCAATGATCCTTTTAACCAAGGTGCTTACTGCTACCTACATACATCACTCATGTTAACTAACTCCTTTACATCCCATTGAAAAAAAAACCCTTTTCAGAGCATTCACAACACAGGCAGGTTATTCCCCTGTTCCTCTGGGTCTCAGGGAGGACGATTGTAGCCTCCTGAGCTGAAGGAATGTAGGATCATCTCATTCATGTTTCTAACTACGTGCTTTAGGGTTGTCTTGCCTCCTTTGTGAGATCGACCTGTTTTCCTCTGCGGCACCTGAATCCCAGAAGAAGTATTCCCGTTGTGACATGTCCTAACAGCGGTGTTGATGTAATATCACCCCATTGTGGCATATTGTGCTCATGTAACGATATGGTGATATAAATTGCACTCAAAGGCACATTTGGACAGTGGCCCTTAATAGAGGGCTTCTTTGTAAACTGCAGTCATGATGTTGCTTAAACTCTAAGCTTTTGGGGCATTTACATACATACATTTTTGTGGCCAGACGCGCTGGAGATCTGGCACATCAGAGCAGACTCAGTTAATCGAGTCTGTTCCACATGCAAACTGATGCACGTGCTGCTGCGTTGCTTGCAGCTGTATAAGTAGCAAAATGTGCATCGGCACGTTGAAAATGGTGGCTGTGTGCTTTTGAACTTAAACACCCTCTATGTGTTTTATACCAAAAGCAGATCACTGCCATTTTTGGTGTGCTGACACTTGTTTCACTGCTTATACAAGTACAAGTGACACAGCGGTGGGCACTTTTCAAAGTGCCCAGCGTGGTGGCACTTCCATGTGTAAAAATGAAGTTTGAGGCCAAGTGTGTCTTTTCTAAAGATGACATACAATGCCTACCAGAGATCCTTG